ATGATCCAGAGTGGGCCGCGTCCTATGTGGCAGACTGATCGGACGCGTCCGGACGTGCCTGCGAGCCCTCATATCCTCCCAACATTTGTCCTCAATATGAGGGCTTGCGGACAGCCCGTACGTATCGGGAAGAGATGAGGGGTCCGGTTGGGTCATTTTTTTTTCTTCTCTCTCCTATCTGATCACTGACCGGTCACGTCCGTGGACATTTGAGGAGGATTTGAGGATGCCGGATGTAGATGCTCTAATCGGAAGTATTCCTTGATACGGTATGTATGTGATAGTGTGGCTTTCTTGAACAATAATCCTACATCTACGGACAACTGCTAAAGATTTACATACACTTTCTAACTAAATCCCCCACCCCTCCCCAAATCTCACCTGGGTGGGCCTCTTCCTCCCCCTATCGCCAATCATAATTCTCCATGTTGCTTCTTACGTTAATCTCATAATTAGAGCATGTACAATAGTTGATAAAACAATATTATCTTAAAGCTTGCATGCAATTTATATATGACAGTAAATGCAAGGAAATACACTTTGGTTTCTGGTTGTAGATACACCCTATATGGGGAGTTTTTTAATAATTAAACAAAAGGTCAAAATAGGTAAGAACTATTTTTAGAGTAAACTTGACTTACTTTTGCACTAGTATATAAATTTTGACGAAAAAAACCAAAGTTGATTTCACAACGAAAAAGACAAAATTTATTTGCTATTATAGGTCACTATTCACACTATTTTGGCTAAAAATTTGCCTTTTTTAAAGGGATAATTGGTTTTATGCCCCTAGTTGGGTCACACTTTGTTGGTTTACCCCTAGTTTCCAAAAATGCGTGTTCCTACCCAAACCACTTGGATCGTCTTATGCTTTTGCCCTTTGACTGCTTGACCATCATTTGAAAACTTCATCAAAAATATATACTAACTCAGAAAAGTTAAAATAAGATATCAAAATGTTCAGGAAAACGTCACCTATATGTGCATGTCATTTGCATTCATGACAAAAGTGTTGGAAAGTCCCCATCACCTATATGAGCTAAAATTGAGATGGGGACTTTCCAACACTTTTCTCATGAATGAGATGGGGACTTTCCAACACTTTTGTCGTGAATGCAAATGGCATGCACGTATAGTTGGTGTATTTCTGAATATTTTGATATATTATTTGCATTTTCCTAAGTTTGTATGAATTTGTTATGAAGTTTCAAAATGACGGTCAAATGGTCAAAGGGCAAAAGGATAAGACGAGCAAAGTGGTTTGGGCAGGAACACGTGTTTACGGAAACTAGGGGTAAACCACCCGAGTGTGACCCAACTAGGGGCATAAACCCAATTATCCCTTTTTGAAAAGAAGTCAAAGGGGGATTTTCTTTTTGTGTATTTTTTCTCATGAGGACAATGGAAGGTCAAGTATATTTCAAAAATATTTTCAGATTTTTTAAACTTTTTTATTGAATTGCTAAAAAGATCCGTATAAGGTGTGGATGTCCCCATAGTATTATGTTGATCCTACATGAAACTCTTAAAATATCATCAGTGTACATGTCCTCGGTTATACGTAGGTCTAGCATTACTCTTCTTGAACAGGATTAGTCTCAGGTAACAACTACTCCTACTACTAAGGACCACGAAACGAGAAAACTCAAAAGGCATGGGATCCATTTTCTTGTTCATTTTCCTGTGCATACTTGTTTATATGTATGCTATGATTGATCATGACGTGAAGTTGAGGATATATGCTGTCCCCTTTTGCATCCGTACATGTAGCCTTTAGGTGAACATGAGCCTTCCCTGTTATGCATGCATGACCGGTTGTTGGGTCAGACATGCTTCACAATGTGGATGACTGGCCGAACAGCTACCCGGCTTTGTCTTTATAACAGATGCCTCGTAAGGCTGTTCATACATTAGCACTACAATCGGACTTAGCAAATTCGATCCTTTAAACACTTGTGGACGCGTCTGGACGTGTCCATAGACAGTGACCGGTCACGTCTTAAATAATCCTGCCACAACTGAATACTTTAAATCAGAAACCTCACATTCATACTACATGCAACGTAAACCTAATCTTAAGAGGAGCTCGTCTGGCTCCGTCGTGACCATGTCTGGCGGCCGGCTGTGCCTCCCAGAGTGTTGGTTCGGTCGCCGATGATGTAGAGTGGGACATGGGAGACGAGCCGGCTCATGTGACTCAAGGCGACATCGTATCCCATGCCCTACTCTTCCTCGCCGGAGCCCGGAATCCTGATGGTGCCGGCGGACATCAAATCGGTGATGGATCCGTCCTGGGACGAGCCGGCAACATCCACCACGACGCGACTACGGAGCCCGAACTGGTGCACCATACAGGGAGCTGGAGAATGCGACTCCGCCTTGCCAACAACCATCGCCGCGAGGAAACTCGCCGCCTCCCGTGCCCGCTGCCTCACAAGGCGGGCACGCCGCGCCATGTTTGCGTTGGCCGACATCTATGGTGCGTTCACCTCCGCCTCAACGCGCCAACGGAGGGGTTGCTCGTCCGCCATCGCATTCGGACGGACTGCACAGACTCCGATGAGGCAACGATGTCACACATCATCGCGGATCCATGCACCATTTTGGCGGACGCAATAGATTCCCAATGAAAGGAGTCCGAGCGCTGTCGTCCTCCAGGGAGCGGCGGAGCGCAAACAGGACAGTCATCTCCTCCTCGGGGCCGCGTGGGATGAACTAGGGCTCGATGGATCTGAAGGTTTAGGACTCGGATCTGCCGCTCGCCATGCCGGAGATCATCGGATGGGGCGAAGTGTAGTGGAGGGAGGCGGAATGGAGTGAAGGGCGGGGGAGTGGAGTGGCTAGGATTTGGTCCAGGGAGCAGATGGGGATGATTATATATGGGGTCAGGTGGGCCAGTAGGGTCCGACATAGTGGACACGTCCGATCACGCCCGGGCCTCCCCATATCCGCCCCTTATTTGGGCTGGATATGAGGGTTGTCAGTCAGCCCGAGCATTTGAGTTCGGTTTGATGCACCGGTCTGGGTCGCTTCTTTTATCGGTTACTGACCGGGCCATGTGCTGGGGTGTTCGAAGCGGGTTTGAGGCACCCGCATGTAGATGCTCTTAGCTTTGTGTATGATATTGCACCTTCATAGTATTTCTCTGTTTGTATTTACTGTGCATATTAGCTTTGTTTTAAGTCAAATTTTGTAAATTGCAGAAAACAATACGACATTTACTATAGCAAATATACTTAATGAAGGATCCAACGATATTTATGTTGTATTGTGGATGTTAATACTTTTTCTATAAACTTGGTCAAACTTTACAAAGTTGGACTTAAGACAAAGCTAATATGTGGTGTAAATCAAAAATGGGAGGGACTAGATAATATTATGTGTTGGTATTTTAAATGATTGCATTTATTATTTTAGATGAAACATACTCTCTCCGTCCGGAAATACTTATCGGAGAAATGTATGCAGCTAGAAGACGTACTTTAGTTCTAGATGCATCCATCTTAATCCATTTCTACGATAAATAATTCCAGACTGAGGGAATATTAGTATTCCAATACCATGTCACGGTATCATGATATGATATTAGTATCCTTTCTTTTCTAACTTAATACTCTCTCCTGTCTGAATTAATTGATGCAACCTCTATAAAATGTCTTAATACTTAAATTGTATAGTGGTCATGTCAATTAATTCGGATCGGATAACTAAGTCTGTATGATACTGGGTTATGATATCCCGGCCCACTACGAGAGATTTGATTGATACATATACACCTAGCTTATATTACACTTTAGTGTCTTCATAAATGCGGCCTATTTAGCTGATGCATTTTTTTTCTTTTTTGAAAAGGAGGCTAGACCCTAGTTAGCAGATGCATATATTCCTAGATTATATTACTCGGATTTTGGTCTTTATTCCATAGGTGGAGTCGCACTAGCTGCTAGTTGCTTCATCCGTTAAAACTACTTTTACCTTCCATATTTGTTGATTGTCTTAGTTAGCCATTTGCTATAACCAGTAGGTTGTTAAATCTTCTATTATGCATCATGTTAGATATTATGACTCATATATATTAACGTTAGTTTTTCGTGTATATAAACTATAGCTATGCATGTTGACCCAGAAAGTGCACAAACTTAATTAAGGAAGGCATACGTAGGCGCAGTGGCGGAGACAGGCCCCAGGCAGTCTGGGCTGCTGCCTGGGGCGTGAGATGCATTTTCTTTGGGCATTGTAGCAGTACTGTAGCTACAGTGCTACAGTTCCCTGGAGGCTGCCTGGGGCGTTCCTTTTTCCTGCCGCCGCTACTGCGTAGGCGCATATATATGCTAATGATCAAAGATTGCCAAATCGACCAAAGGGGCCGGGACACCAAAATGGTGGGAAAAGGAGGGCCAAGAACTGATGCCTCTTCACACCAGCCACAACCAGCCATATCAATTAATATTACAAATTGCACACACACAGACAACAGATACGGCAAGATCTAGTATCTATATACTCCGTACTCATCAGACAATCAAGATCAACCAAGACATATATATATATATTTTAGAGCGGGGACGCTTGCCCGGCCTTAAAGATGAGGTCCTTACAGGAATGAAAATAGTACGAGGTTCCAAACGGGTAAGAAAGATTATAGGCCCTGAGGGCAACAACAGTAGCGCAGGTAGGTGGGCCACAAAGCCATTGCCTTTTCCACCTTTCACTAGCCTACTACTACCAGACACGTCGACGGTCTTCTCCTAGCTATCATTCTGCTCCCAGAGTCCCAGTGAACACGTACGTACAAAATAGGAGTTGAACTAAATTCACTCTTGTGGCGTACACAAGCTCACAGGTTGACTAGTAGGAGTAACAGTGGACAGTAGGAAGACTACCAGAAACAGTGGACACAAGACCACGAGCAAACTCTTATTTGAACGGAGCCATATATATATAGCTAATACCAGTAGCTAAGCCATAGCTTGATCCAGAGGCTTGTTGCATTTTTCACATCAGCGGCGGCGCGCGGCTGTCTCCCGCTGCGCGTTGAAGTAGACGGCGGCGACCGGGAGGCCGAGGTCGTTCTCGTCGGCGAAGCGGCGAGTGTTGAAGCAGTCCCTGGTGGAGGGAGCTCGAGGGTTCACAGCCTGCCGCTTCTTCTGTTTGAACAGCACGAAGATGAACCTGTGAATGCCGATGTTGGGCATTGGGCTGTCGTAGCTCACCACCTCGCTCCCTGCATGCATTAATCATGTTTATCCAGAAAAAAATAAGGATGTAGTCAGTCAATCAGAAAAAGGGGCACTGACCAAAAGAAGCATCAGTGGTGCCAGGAATATCAGTGACGATCCTGCATGTACACAAAAGCTCATAGCCTCATAATTCATAAACATATTCTTATGCATAGCTGATCATATAAATTTGTGCCAATTTATGCTCACTAGACAAAAAACAGGTTTGATGCCCATAGGATAGCCACTAATGGGACACCAGATAATTAATTTGTGCTCAATCACTTGGACTGAGCAATTCGATATACATGGCTCATGAGATATTTTTTTCCAATCTAGCTAACTATATATTTCTTTGTACTGGATGGACTTCTGATCGACTGAGCTAGGTTGGGTTAGTACAATTACCAGTGGAGATGCTCCCTCAGGTATGGATCGCTAGGCCCTGGCACATCCGGGTCCGTCATGACCTGAAGAGCAGCAATCATACTCGGTTATCAGCTGGATGCTAGCTAGCTTACTTTGTGTGTACGCGTCAGGTGGCCAAGGAGGAGAGGAAGCGCAAACCAGAGTGAAGAAAGATCTCATGTCGCCGCCCGGGACCTGAATGCGTGGCTTGGACACGACCGCCGACGGCAAGAACTCCTGGCCATTGGACACCTGCTTGTCGGAGTTGTAGGTCACCGTCATATTCACCGTGGGGTTGAAGTTGTCAATGACCTCCCCGATGACCTTTCCGACGACGAGAGGGTTTCGGACCCTAGCCATGGCTACCTACTTGCTAGTAGTAGAAGCACCAAGTCTTGAGGAATGGGGAACTCTAACCTGATGGTTGTTGCCGAGATTGGGTGGCGTAGAGGCTCTATTTATAGGTGTGCAACGGTCGAAGCACAGCAAATCTCTCATTCCTAGAGAACTATTTTTTTTAATTAATCGGTTATAACTCCCAAAGGCCTTTTGAGCTGGCAAAAAAAAATCCCCTCCCAACATATACGGAGAAACCTTTACCTCCAAATCCCCTCCTAAAGGCCAACTCCAGCGCACGACCCCAAACGGACGTCTGTTTTGTCCGGATTCTGTCCGTTTAGGTAGGGCAATGGGGTCGTGTCCGGGCAGTTTCTGGGATGCGGTGGCCGCGCACCCAACGCATGGATGCATCCCGGCCGCATCCTGTCCACGTACATTTTTCTTTGCAAGCCCTTAACTTTTTTTCATCATTCATTTTTGGCACATGGGAATACATCACCAAATTTTAACTAGAAAAACAAGACCAAGTAAAACAAGAACTACAAGAATACATTTTAGAAGATATCCAACTTCCATAACTGCTCCTGTAAGTTGGATTAGTGCCTTCTCGATGCATTCATTGTTGATATGTGGAGAAGGCTCGATGTTGCATGCTTCTTTTTTCTTCGAGTCTAAAGAAATAGAGCTTGCTTCCTCGCATCTAGTCTCATGTCTAGCCTCTATTCTAGCAACAAGTGCACTAGTCTCATCTCTAGCAAGTGCACGAACATCTACTAAATTGAGCTCTATCAATATATCGATGTACTATTCTTCCCAATACCAAAACTTGCATTCATGCTACACAATAAAATTTTAAGTTAGCACAATTAGTCAAATCCAAGAGCACAACTGAAGCTAAAAATAGCACATACCCCATCGTTTAAGCACTTGATGAACACCCATCCGGGATGTTCCGGCGTTGTAGACACGCGGCGCACGACCTTCTTTAGGCAGTGGTCGCACTTAATGAGTGGCAACGGTGCGCCGACGAGCTTTTGGGCTAGCACCGAGTCCGGCCAACCGCCATTCATGTATCTGTCGGCGGACCACCGACGGTGTAGATCCAAGCGGCTAGAGGAGGAGTCACTACCTGCATGCGGCCTTGCGGCCTTGTCGGGGCCTTCTGGCCCGGTGCCTGGCCAGTCCATGGCGCGATGCGGCCTCCCACAGCCGGAAGAGCTCAAGACCGACCGGATCCGCTCCAAATCCGACCGCCGGGTGCGCAAATCAGGTGGCCGTGGTTGGGTAGCTCAGGGCGCCAAGGGGAAAGGGCGGGGTGTGCGCGCGTCCGAGCTGCACAGCTGCAATGGCAGTGGCGGCGGTGGCGAGAGGAAGAGTGGAGAAGAGTGGAGGGGGTGCGACCGGAGGGAGGGAGGGGGCGGATAGAAAAACGCGTCCCTATGCCACCGACGGGCAGGCCAGGGGAGAACACGCGCACACGGCCCGCCCGTCAGCGCACTATCCGTTCCACCCCAAAAGCGGCGCAAACTTGGGCCGGGGATGGGTCGAAAGCGGACAGAAAACGGACAAAAGTCCGTTTGAGCCCGCACGCTGGGTTGTCTGGTTCGTCCGTTTTACCCCAAACGGATGCACCCGGACAGGATGGGATCGCGCGTTGGAGTTGGCCTAAGACCCTACTTGCGCACGCGAGAACTTTCCTCCCCCAACTACCATTGTCGCCGACCCCGAGTTCGTCAACCTAGCTATTTTCACCGGTGGTGCCACCCCCATCTAACCCAAGCTGCCTCTCCCGGCCCATTCAAGGCCTACCAATGCCTCATCGCTAGTGTCGTCGCCGCCCGCCACCACCAATCAACTCGTGTGCCTCCATTCATCCTCCAATCTACCTTGGCGGCAATGATGTCGTCAGCGACATCGAGGAAGCCCGTTGGTCCCACCGGAGAGGTGGGCGGCGGTGAGTCATGAGCCAAGGTAACCCCCAACATGTAATTATATAGGATGAAATTCATCTTTGATGGAGACAGAGGATTTGCCGGAATTTGAGTTTGGGCTCCCGAAGTGCAAGCGATGTGGGCATCTCATATACTCTTTTCGCCGTGTTTGGAACGACTGAGCAACTGGGAAGAGGTTTCTAGATTTTCATTTGAATGGTTTTAAAGCTTGTGAATACACGGAGTGGATTGATGTTGTATGGGAAGACAGGGCAAAAGATGTGATTCGGGATGTTGCAAAGAAGAACAACAAACTTGAGAAAAAGAATCTAGGAAATTGAGATTGAAACTCAAATTAGGGGGATTAGGGCAAAGATGCATAGAGAGCAATTGAATTCGAGGGCGAGAATACTCGGATTTTGTTAGGATATTGATACTCCTCATGTTGGATGTAAGGCCATGACCATTTGAAGCCTTTAGGCAGGCCACAATTCTGCCAAAGCCCACTACACATTAGGGTTATGACCTAGGGTCATTTTGGTCTTTGTGGGTGAGGGAAAGGGGCGTCTAGCCCTTCATCCAGCAGCTAGCCACCACCACAAGTGACAAAAATTAGGTTAGCCTCCATTGGAGAAGAAGAAGAAGAAGAAGAAGAAGAGAAAAACAAGAGAGGAAGATTGAAGTTAGAGCGTGCAAGTAAGAAAAGGAAGCTTATTCCCAAGGGTGCGATGATCTTGATCCACTACATTCTCTCCTTCAACCTGTGATTCCATCATCCTTGGTGAGATTGTTTACATTCCTAGCTCTTGAGCGCCAAATCTTCTCAATGCCATCAATAATTGAGAGATCTTGATGTATGAAAATTTGTTGTATACCATATTTGATTATAGTGAAAGAAGATTTGAGTGGTTTCGGCCCATGGTCACGACAACGTGGGGGTTTTCCATGTAAAAATACCAGTTTTCATCTCACTTGAAACCGGCCCTGCAAAAGAGAAAGTGAGGACAAGTATTAAGTTTCGACCTAAGTTCTGGTTGACAAAACTTACTCCATATATGCAATGAAACATGAGTCAGCATAGAGGTGGTGTTGAGGTTACTTTTTTTGGAAGTGTTTCATATCACCATTAAGCTGCTAATTCCTAGTAGATTTTGAGTTGTCATCTTATTGGTGAAACTGAATACTTGAAATTCGATAAAACCTCTGTTTTCTTATTTTTCTTCCTTAACCATAAATCCAAAATTAATTCTACCTTCTTTCTTTTTCATGTATTTTTTTGATCAGGAAAATACAAAATTATGTTATTTTGAAGTTACTCTAATCTCGTACACACACAAATTTGCAATTATTCATCTACTACTGGAATTTGGATTACGTGTTTGTTTTAATTGTTAAGAAAAACATGGATGGTTTGTAATGACAACTTCAAATTTAATGCAGCATCCAAAACTTGAGGATTTTTAGGAGTTTCATTTCGGGAATGGATTCTGGGGAGTTAATTATTTTCCATTGGAGATGCTAGATGAAGGTGTTGAGTACAATATTTATTAGGAAAGACGAGATAGACTAAGATTTGATCTGGCTTGTCTTGCACTTTAAGTAGATGATTGTACTCCTATATATATACCCACGAGGCTCAAGCAATACAATGAACTATTCCACCAAATCCCTCTCTCCCTTCTAACATGATATCTATCGCAAGTCGATCCTAAACCCTAGCCGCCGCCGCTTCCGCACCCGCACGCCGCCCCCGGGACGGTCGGCCTCCATGATCGCCGTCGGGGGCCACGCCGCCCGTACCTAGGGTTCGTCCGCCGGTCGTGTTGACCATCTATCCTAGAGAGTCTTTTCCTCGAGCCTTGCTCCGGGGTTTTCTCTCTCTCGCCGGTCATCTTGATCGAACGGTTTTTTTTGGTTTTCCGATCTATTCTTGATTGGTTTGCGTCGCCCACCGCCCTCATCGACCCCTAGCGCCTCTACTCCGACCCCGGCGCAACCAGCCGGCCTCTCCTCCGACCAAGCGGCCATGCGCCCCGAGGAGGCTCGTCAGGGCCAGCCGCCGTCCATGCGTCGGTCCGCCGTCACCCTGCGCCGGCCGTCACCGCCCTGCTCCGACCGGGACACCTGCATCGCCCCGACCCGGCGGCCTTGCACCATGCAACGGCCAATCATAGTCGTCGGTCGCACGCCGGCCCGCCCATCGATGACATCACCCGCCTCCGCCGTGTCTGCACGGCGGCCCGGCAGTCTACCTCGCCGGCCTCGTTCTTGTCTGCGTCGGGATGGCTGCGTCAGGCTCGTCGGCTGCCTCAACTCAGACGCTGCTGCTCCGTTGGTCGCTCGGGCCTCGCTGCCCAGGCGCCGGCGTTGCTTTGGCGGCCCGGGTGCCGGTGCTGACAAGATCGTCCGCACGATGTCCCACGCCATCCGTCATCGTCGGCTTCATCTCGGACTCCGCCGCCATCACGCCTCCACCGAGCGGCGTCCCCGACCTCGCGCGCGATCAGCTTGATCACTCGCTCGCCGCTGCGATCCGCCTCATCTCCGCCGCGCGACCGACCTGGCCCGTCGGTTACGCGCGCCTCCGCTGGTCCCGTGAAGATCGTCCTCGAGTTCGGCGCGCCTCTCCACCGATCGAGCATCGGACTGCCGCTGCATCGCCCCGTCGGGCCGCCGCCCCGTGGTTCTCCTCGCGGCTGCATCGACTCGTGTGTCGCTGCTGCGTCGCCCCTTCGGGCCGTAGTGTCGCGATACGCGGTCCCTGAGGTCGTCCCTGTGGTTGCACCGACTCGCGAACCGCCGTTGTGTCGCCCCTTCGGGCCGCAGCGTCGCGGCCCGTGGTCCCCGCCGTCACCCCGACCCACCTGCCGCCGCTGCGTTGCCCCCTCGGGCCGTAGCGTCGCGGCCCGTGGTCCGCTCCGTCGTCATAGCGCATCGACCTCCCGTGGTATGCGCTGTGTCGTCTTCCTTGGCGCGGGAATGCCACCATCCGCGCCGGTCTTCGTCACGCTGTCAGGGTTTTTAACCGCCGCCGTCAGGCCGCCGCCGCCGCTCTTCTTTGGTCGCTGCCGTCGTTACCTTCATAGTCGC